ACAATGAACTCAAGAAGCTGGCCACCAAAACACCTAACAATGGAATGAAAATGTGGAGTGCAGAACTAAATAGAGAATTATCAACAGAGGAATCTAAAATGGATGAAAAACCCTTAAGAAAGTGTTCTACATCCTTAGCCATCAGGGAAATGCAACTCAAAACAACTCTGAGATACCCTCTTACTCCTGTCAGAATGGCTAAATCAAAAACACCAGTGACAGTCTATGCTGGAGAGGATGTGGAGAAAGAGGAACTCTCCTCCATTGCTGGTGGGAGTGCAAACTTGTAAACCACTTTGGAAATCAGTATGGTGTGTTCTCAGGAAAATGAAAATCAGTCTACCTCAAGACCCAGCAATTCCTCTCTTGGGCATATACCCAAAGAATGCACATTCATACAATAAGGACATCTGTTCAACTATGTTCATAGCAGCATTATTTGTAATAGCCAGAATCTGCAAGCAACTTAGATGCCCCTCAGCTGAAGAATGGTAGAGAAAATGTGGTACATTTACACAATGGATTACTACTCAGTGTGAAAAAAAAAGACAAAAAAAAAACAATGGAATCTTGAAATTTTTAGGAAAATGGATGGAACTAGAAGAAACCATCCCGAGTGAGGTAACCCAGTCACAAAAAGACAAACATGGAATGTACTCACTCATATATATTCTTTAGACATAAAGCAAAGGATTACAGGCCTACAATGCACACTGCTAGAGGAGATAGAAAACAAGGAGTACCCCAAGAGAAGATTGCATAGTCCCTCAAAGAAGGGGAGGGAGACAAGTACCCCTGAGAAAATTGGGAGCATGTGGCAGGAAGAGGAAAAGGGTGGGACAGGGAGAAGAGGAAGAGGACTGAGACAGGAGAAGAATAGAGGAGGGCAAGATAGGAGATGCCTTGACAGAGGCAGACAGTACAGATTTGGAGAGAAGTCTGGCACAGGGGAAATATTAGGGGATCCACAGGAATGACCCCAACTAAGAATCCAAGCAGTGGTGGAGAGGATGCCATTAATGCCCTTCCCCAATAATGAGACTGATGACTACCTTGGTTACCATTTCTAGAGCCTTCATCCAGTAGCTGATGGAAGCAGAAAAAGGCACCCACAGCTAAGCACTGAACCACACTCCTGGAATCCTGTTGTGGAGAGGGAGGAGGGATGACAAAGGAGCCAAGATGGTGCTGGAGAAACCCACAGAAATAGTTGGCCTGACCTAGTGAGAGCATGGAGACACTAGTTATAAAGCTGGGAAACCAGCATTGGACTGAACCAAGCCCTCTGAATGTGGTACCAGCTAGGAGGCCAAGACAGTTTATTGGACCTCTAACAGTAGAGCCAGTGTTTATCCCTAGTGTACAAGTGGACTTTGGGAGCCCATTCCCTATGGAGAGATACTATTGCAGCCTAGATACTGCAAGGAGGGCCTGGGCCCTCCCCCAAATGATGTGATGGACTTTGATGGTACCCCGTGGAGGGCCTCACTATCCCTGGAGTGGAGGTGGGGGATGGGTTGGGGAGGTTGGTGGGTAACATGGGAGGATGGGAGGGTGAGGGAATGAGGGGATGGATATGTATATATGGTCCCTCTAAAATTAAAAAAAAAAATCCTTAATACCCCAGTGCTCTGTCTACTTTATACCTCAATGCTGTGGCAAAGTGAAGGTCCACTTGAGGAAACAAATTAGCAGAGTCATTTTCTTCCCTGACATTCAGCTCCCCAGAAGGCTCAAACACTGTCTTTTGTTTTGTTTTGTTTTCTGCATTTTACATGTTTATTTTTGTTATTTTTTTATTTAAAAATTTATTTTTCATTTTACACACCAACCCTCTCCCTACCTCTCCCGCTTCTCACAGCCCATCCACTCCTTAGAAGGGGTAATGCATCTCTGGGGGAGTCAACAAAGTGGGTCCCATGCAGGTTCCCCAGTGATCAGTCCAGAGTCTGTGAGCCCCCACTTGTCAAGAGCTGTCTTTAAGGTTTGGAAGGCATGGAAAGTGGTGATCTCTGAAACCACACTAGTTGTCTTTGTCAAAGCCAAAGTGTGGTAGCAGTTGCATTGGAGGTCGTGAGGCATAGAACTTCAGTGCATCTGCCATTGGCTGAGTAGTAGCCATTCATTAGCAATACCCAGGAAAATGTGAAGAACCAACCTATCCTAACTATAACCTTGGCTTGCAGTGAAAACAGCTCCAGGCTTCTGATGAGGAAGAGTAGAGAATTGCAGCATGTTACTAGCCTGTTCATTTTCCTTATCTAGGGATTCACGCCTCAATAAATAGAACCAAGATGGTCCCCCAGAAACAGGCCCAGTGCTCCATCTCTCAGGTGATTCTAACTTTTGACAAGTTGACAATTAACCATCACTGGAGCCCTAGATTACCTGGCATGCTGAGCAGGATAAATCTACATAGGCATTCTTAATACTTTCAGAGTGAGCACTGGAGATAGAATAACAAAGAATCACAAAGAGGCTCAGAGTTGAGAAAATACAATAGAGTAGGAAGTTGATTTTACTTTTGCTAAGAAGTTGTAATAGTTGCTGTTAGGGATACCACAATCTGGACAATGATCTCTGTTATGTGGTAAGAAGTAGCTTCCCCTAGAAGTGATGTCTAAGCTGAGATCTATGGGAATGGTAGAGGTTGACCAGATAGACACGCTACTTTTCTGTTCTATTTTTAAGTTCATCATTTGTAAAAGACAGTAATTGGTCAACCTTATAGTCCAACTTTGAGGGCTGGTGAAGCTAGCAGAGAGGAGAGCTGGCTATCAAGCATGGTGCTTAGATTTCAAAGGAAGGACCCTGAAGAGGAGAAAATGTCCCATGTGGAATACTCACTTTGATGATGCCATCTAGAATTTAAAAGTGTGTGTGTGTGTGTGTGTGTGTGTGTGTGTGTGTGTGTGTGTGTGTGTGTGTGTGTGTGTGTGATGGCTGGGGGGAGGTGTTGTGTACATGAGTACAGTACCTATACAGGTCAGAGGGGCCATTGGATCTCCTGGACATGGAATTACATGCTGCTGTGAGCTGTCGATTGTGGGTGCTGGGAACTGAACTCCAGTCTTCTGCAAGAGAAGTCCATATTCTTAAAGACAGAGCTTCCTCTCCAGCACTCAGAAACAAACATTTTGAGATCACTGCTATAAGTGAAGATTTATTTTGGACACATAAAAAAACTTAAGGTAAATTAGCAAACTATTCTGTTTTCCAAGGAAGAGACCATAAGGCTTGTACAAGGAACACTGGTTTAAGTGTATGGAACCCAAAGTAGGGCTTTAAGAACCTAAGGATTGGCTCAAGTAGCCGAGGAAACTCAAGTTGAATGGAAGTCAGGAAATAATGGTGGAAGGCAGGTTCCTTCTTGCTTCCTCAGGTCTTGTGAGTGTGCATATTTGATTAATCAAAAGTACCCAATTATCTCACAAGTTCAAAATTCTATCACCAGTTATTGTGTCCAGTAAGTAGAAGTAGCTTCTGGAGAACTGGATTTGTTGGAGAACTATAAGATAGCTCCTAGTAAAGGAAAAACTCCTTGAAACTGGCCTCACCAAAAAAGGACCCAGGGTTGTTCTGGGAATAAGTAATTTTGGAAGTGTAGCTCCCAGCTGAGAAGCACTGGGATTGACTTGAATATATCAAATGGGACATTCCTTTCCCCAGACTTACTAAGTCAGAAGTCTGGAAACCTCCCCAATAGCAGGACAAGCTCTCAGGTGACTCTGTGTAAGCTCAAACCAGGAAAATGCAGTCTGGGGTGCTAGAAGCAGCAACTCCTAGCTTCTCCTTTGATTCTGTGTTTTAAAAAAACTTAATCATTGGCAGTTTCCATCCCCAAATCAAATTCCCCAAAGCAGACAAGGGCCCCCTTTACATTTATAGATTACCATTTGCCTCTGCGCCACATCTGTATCCCCCTCTATACAGAGGCAGTCCTTTGTCCCTCAAGGACAAATACCCCTGCCCTCTCTCCCTTGTTGCCTTCCCCTTCTTCCTCTTCTCCTATCTCCTTTGTTTGTTCCTTATCCCTGTTCTCTGTCCCTCTGGGGTAAATAAACCTCCTTTGTGCTGAGAACTTGATCTTGGGTGTCCTGAGTTGATACTTTCCCTTTCATACATCCTAACACTCAAAAATAGCCCTATACTCCTTAAAAACCTAACAAGATAATGACAACCTTTGCAATTCTCTGGGCATAAGGACCAAAACAAAGAGGTATAGCCCATTTTTTCTCTCTCTGAGACAACCCAGAGAGAGAGGCACTTGCTCCTGCCTCCTCACTTGGAGGCATCCTCTGCTTCTGCATCTTCTGCCTATTACTCAGGCCCAAGCTTTCCCAGCAGCTACCACCACTGGCCATGTCCCTCCTCACAAATAAATAAAAATAAACCTTAAAATAGATATCCACTATAATGAAATAACTGAAAATTAGTTATGTGAATCAATGATTTACACTTTCAGAGTCCACTGACAAATGTGTACTGTGCCAGTTTCTGAACAGTGGTCCTGACACAGCACTGCAAGCCAAGGGTAGCCTTCAGGGCTACTATGTCAGTCTCTCCATCTGGTAGGCTCTGAAGTCTTCATAAGACAGTAGTTATCCATGGGAAAGTGGCCTACTCTGGGAAGCTTCTTCAACTATTCCCCTTAACAGAGCAATCAAGGGGCTGGAGAGATAGATGACCCAGCAGTTAGGAGCACTGGCTGCTCTTCCTGAGACCTGGGTTTGATTACCAGCACCAACATGGTGGTTCACAATCATCTGTAGCTTCAGTTCCTGGGCATCAGATGCTCTTTTCTGGTCTCCATGGGCACCACATACTTTGATGCATAGACATACATTCAGACAAATCACCCATACACATAAAATTTAAAATGAAAAAACAAAACAACACAAACCTAAAAAACAATCAGGCTTTTCTGTCAGCTTCTTACAGACCCTGTGCCCTACTCAGGACTGTCTGTGTATCATGTCAGGAAGTACTCATGTCTTTCAGAAACATGGACTGAAAGAATCAGAGTCCTCAGCAGAGCCAAGCTGGAAGGGTAGATAGAAAGAAGAGGCATGGAAGATGTCCAATGTCATGGAAAAGCTGGCTGTGTAGGATCATTCTGGAGACAGGTATGTAGGACATGAAGATGTTCACTGTTACATGATTGACATACTAGGGGAAAGCCCTTGAAAAGGTGCTTGTTAATAAGGGGACCCATGAAACATGAACTATGGGCCCTTGTGCAGCAGTGAATGGTTGGGCTAAGGAGATGACTTAGGGGGTAAAGGTGCATGCCACTAAGACTGATGGCCTGAGTTTAATTCCCAGAGCCCACATAATCAATAGAGAGAACCAACTCCAACAAGGTGTCCTCTGACGTCCATACATAGGACATAGCACATATCTGCATATGTGCACACATACACAAATAAAAAAATAGATGTTACAAAAACGGAGTACAGCTGAGTGGCAGTGGTGAACACCTTTAATCCCTGTACTCAGGAGGCAGAGGCTGGCAGATCTCTGTGTGTTCTAGGCCAGCCTGGTCTGCAAAAGCAAGTTTCAGGACAGCCAGGACTGTTACACATAGAAACCCTGTCTCAAAAAAACAAAAGCAAAAACAAAAACAAAAACATCAAGAGGAGAAAGAGAGAGACAGAGAGAGGTGTGTGTGTGTGGGGGGGGAACTAGGTGGTTGACTTGAAGAATCCCATCCAACCACCTCAAGCACGTTGTTAGGTATACAAATGCTACCGTGCCTTTTATTTGATGTGTCTTTACATTTCTTGTCACTGTTAGGAAAAAAAACCTGAGTTAAGCAACTTAAGGGTAGTAAGGGTTGTCTTGGGGATACAATTCAGTTTGTCAGGTGGGGAAAGCATGGGTGCAGGAGTAGCCAGGACCTTGTTTACATGGTGCCACACAGGAAGCCTAGAGCTAGACCAGACAGGGGCAGATATCACCTTCAGGGCACCTCCCTAAATTATCTAATTATACTATCCACCAATAGCTTCACAAGCTTCAAAATATTAGCACCTATGGGGAATAAGTGCTCACAACATGAATCTCTGAGGTTCGTTCCATTGCAGACACACATGGCAATAAAATATACCTCTGGAAGGTTGTTATCTCTGTCATACAGTCTCACAGCAGTCAAGCTGATCTTCCTGTCCCATCTCAGATGGAGATCACCTATTTAGGCAGTTCCCATAAATATCCAAATTCTATTGACATTATCCTTCATTTCAATGTGGCTTCTCTGAGAGATGCTTTCTGGAAGCTGAATTGTGTCCCCAGTTTGACAGTGGTAGTCTGCCACAGGAATGGATCACAGAATCTTTGCTACCCTGAGATTAGAATCAATTTCAGAAATGTGAACTATGAAATATCTACTCACAAAAGAAAACAACAGAGATGCCAGTTACGCTTTCCTCTAGAGCAAAAGCAATGCCCTCTTCTACATTAAATTTTTTTAACTTCGCATATACTTTCATTTAAAACCAGTTAATCCTATTTAAAAAACATAAGTCACTTAGTTCTTGCTTTACCCAAGAGGAACAGAAAGCAAATATCAAATCAACTCAACATTTCTTTTGCCATATGGTTATTTTAAATAAATATTTGGTTTGAAGATTGGGTAACATTTGAATGTGTTCCTGTTTTTTCCTCTGATTGCTTTTCCTGCCCAAGGAGACAATTAAATGTGACACTCTTGCATTCACCCCCCAAGGTCTTGTGATTTCATGAAGGTGGTCTCAGTGGCATATTTTGCAGCCCCAAGGCCTGATCAAGGAGAGAGCTGGGATTAGAGGCAGTTTGTGTGACATTGTCCTTTTCGTTTTTATTTAAAAGGTCATTAGCAAAGAGTTTTCCTTCCAGTAATTAGGCATTTGTTCTGTTCTTCTCTGCTGTGGTCCCTGGCTATTTCAAGTGGACACAGAGGAGGAGCATTTTCTCCAAAACCAGCAAGAACTAGGTGGGCTGTTTCATCACACCGACCCCTTTTATGGTCAGAATGCCTTTTATGGTCAGGCTCTGAAGGGACAAACAGATTGAATATGGCTCTTGCTATATATAATCTGGACAGAGCAGACCAATTTCTAAAGGTTTTGAGCTGAAGAATTGGAGGAATATAAGGAAAAGGTTCCGGGGCATTTTCTGGATATCTGGTCAAAATGCTCCTGTGTCGTGTGAATCAGGTTTAAGAAAACAAATCTGAACAAGTTTTGCCCACATGACTTACCTTCAGAGAGATCAAAACATCGGTAATGGTAAGCCAGATAAACAGAGCAACTGGCTCCATGGAAACACTGAAGTGGCCAAAACTCCCTGCAATTACAAGCCCAGAGAACACCCACAGTGCTCTCAAGCTGGGTCCCGGGTAAGGCAAGACTGCTCATCTCCGCAGACAACAGCTAATAGAAAGCCCAGCTGGTTTGAACAAGCTCATCCTCTGCTGACACTCACATAGCTTACAGAAAGCAACATGAAGCTGGCAAATGGGGGAACCAAATACAAGCTGTGTTTCAGCAAATCCTGGGCAAAAGACACCATCTCTACTTCTTAAAACACTTTGCAATGTTATTAAGGAATGTGTTATGGCAAAGCAATCTTCTGCCAGCCAGGACAGGAGGTGCTGTGAACATAGATTAAGAGGTCTGTAAAACAGTGAGATATTCTGCCTGATGATACTTCAGACAGTCATGTATTTAACACATGGGCCAAGTATTTATTTACTTATTACATACTAGAAATTGAACCTTCACATGCTAGGCAAGCACTATCCACTGCACTCCAATTCCTTTTGTTTCCTTTTTGAGATTGAGCCTTGCGGAGTTTCCCTGCCTGGCCTCTGGTTCTCAATCTTTCTACATTGATATGCAGTATAACTGCAATTAAAGGTCTTGGAACCAGGATGGGCTTAGGCTCAGCTGCTTATGACCATTTCAGTGCTGATTTCCTGATTCTTATTTCAGCATCTCCAGTGCCTGCAACACAGTCTCCAGAGACCTTGGTGACAGGCAGACTCTGGGTCTGGGGTAGGACATAGGAGTCTATATTTTTCAGAAATTCCAGGTGACATCCATACTGCTGGCTCATAAACAAAGTTTGAGGTAGTATTCTAGGGACTTCTGTCAACTTAATGAGAAGTGGGAGGACCAGCTTGGAGTCACGTACTATGATGGGATGGGCTTTAGCTTTCAAATATGTGGGTGCACTATGAGATAGAATTTACCAACTTCAGAGAATAAATCCCCTCCCAACTGAACACAGGGTTTTCAACAGAAGCAGAAATGGAGACATTCACTAGGTTGTTTGTGTTATAGTTTGTGCCCATGTCTTGAATACTTGAGCTCTAGCTGGTCACAGTATTTTGGGAGGCTGTGGATCCTTTAGAAGGTAGGCCTAGCTGGTGGCTGGTCATTAGGTGTGGGACATTATGGTCATGTGTGGTCCCTAGACCTGCTACATTCTATGATTCCTACTGTGACTAGCGTCTATGACATACACTTGCCACATCACTTGAGTTTCTTCATCATGTTGTCCCACAATGATGGAGTGAAAGCTTTAGCCAAAATAAACCTTCCTCCCTTATCAGGTTTCTTTAGGCATTCTGTCACAGTAATGAAAAAGTAACTAATAGGGACTGCTACATCAGTAGAGTTCTCAGAACTGGAATGCATGCCGCATCTGAACTTGGGATCCGTGCTGCTTCCACATACCCCAAGATTCATTTGTTTTGTTTTGTTTTGTTTTGTTTTGTTTTGTTTTGTTTTCTTGTTCTGCATCAGCATAGGTAACTTCCGCCCATCATGAGGTGTCTGGTTCCAGTAGCTGTGGTAAAATCACCACACTTGCTGCTGTAGACAAGAAACGTACTTTCTCAAAATTCTGGTGGCCAAACTTCCAGGATCCCTGTTCCTGGACTGAAGTCAAGAAAGTGACAGAGTTATGCTTTTGTTGGAGGCTCCAGGGAAAATCTGCTCTCTGCCCAAGTATTTTCATGTTGCCATCTCCTGTGTGAGTGCCTGCATGGAACCTCTTGGACTCAGAGTCTATTGCCTGAATAGGACATTATAATTATTTTTAGGCCACCCAAATAATTGAGATGGTCTGCTCATTTGAGAGCTTTAGCTTAATCACACCTGCAAAGACCACATGAAGCATCATTCCCAGCATTAGAACCTGATCCTATAGAAATTTTATTTAGTCTAGTTCACATCTACCTTGATGGTTAAGCTGTGATAAGTAAGATTTACCAGAGTGATAGTTGACACTCAAGTCTCAGTACTGTTGGCAACAGAGGTGTTAAACTAGTCATTCATGTGGCGCTGGGAGTCAATACAGAGCAGATCTCAGAGGCACTGAAGCTCTGCTCCATTCATAGGGCGTACATATGAACAATTATACTAGAAAATATCAGTGCAATGGGATTTCGGTCTTGGGCAATATGTCTACACAACTTGCCTCTTGGATCTCTGCTAACACATGCTACCCTATCTTTCAACCCAAAGGTTTTCCCTGTAGGGCAAGGAAACTTTAAAAGGGGGATAGTGAGATGGGTCATCAGGCACTTACTTAGCGATCCTGGTGCTATCAGTTGCATCCCTGGATCCCATGGTAGGATAAAACTGATTCCTCAGAGCTCCACAAGTGTGCTCTAGTACACGTGCCCACACACATTGCATCCATACATACAACAGCTAGAAAACTTGAAAAATACTTTAAAAATTTATTTGGCTTCACAGAAAGTTGTAACGGTATATACACAGATCCCCTTTCTGTGACTCAGCACCCCTATTGCAAAGCTAGGAAGCTGAACTTTATGTAACCCACCATAGGCTTATAAAGAAGACATAATGTCAACTGATTAAAGGTTTGAAACAAATGACATTTTCATTTTTTATGTTTATTTTTGGAAATAGATGGGCCAGAGGTCATGATTCCAGCCTGTTTACAGGAGATAAAGAAAGGATGCTTGCTGTGGATTAGAGGTACAGGGAAAGCTGCTGGTGGAAGACTGCACCTTAAGTGAATGTTATGAAACTCATAAACCAGGAAATGGTGCAGTCACTTCTCATTTCAACTTCCCAGCATTTCATTTGCTACAATACAGCCAGTAATCAAA